TTGATCTATTATTTGAAAATAAAAATATTTCATTTTTTAATTTTAAAAATACAAAATTTGATTTCATTGTCAAATTAATATTTATTAATTACTAAATTTAAATATTGTCATATGACTTAAATTAATATTTCTTTCATTTTATTTATTTATTTTCACTTAAATGTCACATTCAGTTTCTAAACTTTTTATACTTAAATAAGTATTCATTATTCATTATTTTTTATATTTTTTAAATAGAGAGACACAAAATATTTTTTAAGTCTATATATATATATAATATTTGAATTTATAGTTACTAATAATAAAGGAAATTGTTGTGTGTCCATTAATTTTTTTGGATAAGTTTTTTCATATAACTATCTCTTAAATTACCCTTATTTTTTATTATTCTTATTTTACTTTTTAAAACTGTTCAAAAATTACTTTTATAATTATAATTATTTATTTTCTAATTATTATCCTTTCTTTTCATTTATCAACATTGATCACACAAGTGACAGTGACTTATATCTCTTAATCAAGTTGTTTGGAGTTCAAATTTTAGCGTTGGATGTGAAATAAACTATATTGGGAGAAAAATATTCATCTTGTATGTATGCTCACAGTCTCAGATGAAGATTAGTCACTATACCATGACTTAAATATTCATCTTGTATGTGCACTCACAGTCTCTGATGAAGATTAGTCACTATTTTTTTCGATACTTCATATCAATATCATGATTTAAAAAAATTATTTTATTTTAAAAATATACAAAAATACAAAAAAAAAATTACGAAATTATTGAATCAAATTTAAAACTTATAATCTTAACTTTATCTTTAATACTTTTATAAATCAAATTCATTAAACAAAAATGTAGTTCACATAATATTTTAATTTTCAGTAAATTCAAGTTAAAACACATATTAGTTTAAAATATTGCTTAAATAGCTTATTGTTATATATTTTATAATTAAAATAAAAAAAGAAAAATTGAACTCACATTTCTATATAAAAAAAAATAATGCAATTAAAAAAAAAAGGTACTTGGTCAAAACGTATATGTTGGTACTGAAGCAAGGCTGGATCAGGAGAATAATAACACATGAGACACGATGCCGACAGCCATCTCCACGTGAATTTTTTACTGAAATAAAATTTTAAATTTTTTTTTTTTATCAAAACATCACCTATTCCAATTTATTTACAGAAGTAACACCTTTTACTGTTCACACTCAGAATTTGGTTCCCGGAGAAACAAATTTTAAGTTGTTAAATTTTTTTTTGTTCAGAATTCGGTTTCCCGGGAACCGAATTCCGAGTAGTGTTTAATTTTTTTGTTTCTTTTCTATTTGTAGTTCGGGTTGTCTATTAATGTTGCAGTTGAAACGGCCCGTTCTCCAAGCAGAACGGTCAGTTCTGCTTGCACACGTAGTATGTTATTTTTGAAATTGAAACGTACAAGCAGAACAGTCTGTTTTGATCCATTCGTCATGTGTATTTTTTGCATCCGGAACGGGCCGTTCTGCAAGGAGAAGGGGCCGTTCTGCAGGGAGAACGGGCCGTTCTGCAAGGAAAACGGGCCGTTCCGCAAGGAAAACGGGCCGTTCCGGATCCAGTTTTATACCATGCTTAGATCCAAAAACGCAAAAAAAATAAAATTAACAGTTCAAAATTCGGTTCCCAGAGAACCGAATTCTGAACGTGAACAGTGAAAGGTGTTACTTGCGTAAATAAAGTGGTACATGTGCTTTTTTGGTAATTTAAAAAAAAAAAAATATTTTAGTCAAAAATTCTCTCCACGTCAGTGAACAGTAATTAATCTTATCGTCTCAAACAATACAAATCGAAAATTTCGTTTGCATTCGAATATATATATTTTTAGTTTAGACTTAGTGGCTTACACGTGTTATCTGCCGGAATAAACACTTTACTTTGTCGACCAACAGCCAAATGTAACACTTTAGATAGAAACTACTATTACAGTATTACTATTAGTTAAACAAATATTTAAACATGTGAATTGTACATCATAAATATTTGTATATAATTATTGTTAAAAAATATTCTTTATATAAATAAAATTCCTAATTAATTTATATCTTTAAATATATAAATTAAAATTTATAAGAATAAAAATTAAACAAATAAATTATATTTGAAAATTTTAAAATAATTTAAATTAATATAAAGTATTATTTTTATAACATCGTACTTTTTTAATTATGTATATTTAAAATATATGCAATTAAGTATTTTATTTCGTGTTGTTTTGTTGTTGTAGCTTTTGCACGATGAAATTTAAGATTGTCATAGCTCTAAACTTAAATTGTAGATAACATAACTTAAGTGTATATGAATTGTATTAGAGAAGGTCGTGGCATATTAGACAAATTCTAAGAAATAAATTTCAAAAATTCACAACTCTAGAATTTTAGAAAGAAAATAAAGAGAGGTGTTTTAGGGCCACCGTAGTTCGCTCATTGATCTAAATCCATTCAGAGATTCTTTTTCTTCCCCTTATGGCTAGTTGGCGTAGTAAAAGCTAAAGTTCAAGCTGAAAATCTAAGTTGGTGCGAAACTTTTGAAATTAGCTTAGAGTTGTTTCTTCTTATTCTTCTTCTTAATCATATACTCTCTGAATTTGAGGTTGTCATAACTCTAAACTTAAATTGTAGATAACATAACTTAAGTGTGTACGAATTGTATTAGAGAAGGTCGGGGCATATTAGACAAATTCTTAGAAATAAATTTCAAAAATTCACAACTCTAGAATTTTAGAAAGAAGTTAAAGATAGGTGTTTTAGGGCCACCGTAGTTCGCTCATTGATCTAAATCCATCGGGAGATTCTTTTTCTTTCCCTTATGGCTAGTTGGCGTAGTAAAAGCTAAAGTTCAAGCTGAGAATCTAAGTTGGTGTGAAACTTTTGGAATTAGCTCAGAGTTGTTTCTTCTTATTCTTCTTCTTAATCATACACCCCGAATTTAAGGTAAGGGAAGTTAGAAACTTGTTCTTGATGAGTTGTATGAGTTGCATGTTGTTTAATCAAAATGTAAATGTATTGGTTGATTTCAAATGGTATGATGAAAGGGTTGGGTTATAGGTGTTTTGAGCATGTAGAGGTGGATTTTGATGATTTGAGATTGTTGATGGTTGCATATTGTTAATATCATGAGTAATGGACTTTATGTGGTGCATACTTGTGGATTGTGTTGTGCATGCGTGGTTCTTTTAATTTTCAGGTGGTTTGAGTGAAAGGTGTTTTGTCTTGCTCACGTCGAAGACAAGATTAGTAGCGTCAGGTGTGAGGAAAGACAATTAACTCGAGTTAAATTGGCATTGGACGTGGTTTGAAATTTGAATAGTATCAGATATGAGATGGGAGAATTAACACTATATGAATTGGCTAAAATAATATTATTTAAAATAATTATTTTAATTTATATAGAGAAAATTATATATATATATATATATATTCTTATAATTTAAAAGTTTCTAACAAAATTTTAAAATTTTAATTATATTATCAGTAATTAAATATCATTTTTTTAAATTATAACGATATATTTAAAAATCAAATAATATAATAGAAATGCTCAAATACATTCTTATAATTCATTTATATTTAAAAATAAATTTCTAAAAGAAAAATTAACGAAATTTTAATAACCACTAATAAGTAAGGGAAAGAAAAATAATTTTTTTAATTATATTTATCCTTGAAAGAAAATAAATTTATTTTAAAAAATGAATAACACGAAGGAAATAAATAGTATTTTAATCAAATTTATTATACAAATATTTTTACTTTTCAAAAAATAAAATTGTATAACTTGAAATTTAATCAAGTTGAATTAAACAAAAGTATTTTTTGATTGAATTAGTTTGATTCGATTCAGATTGTAGAAAATAAATTAATAACATAAATCTAAACTAATCGGATAGTACAAAATAAATTAAAAAATTTAAACATAACTAAATAAATTAGTTAATTCAAATTTGATCCAAACAAAACGAACTGGTAAACAATCTTACCTACTCAACTATTTCCTGGTGTATAAGTGAATCTCCTAGGAATAGTTGTCTACCAAGCAATGAAAGTAGCATCAAATCCGGACCTATCCTCACTATAACGGTAAAATTATTAGTGTTTTTTATTTTTTAAATTTAATTAAGGATATATTCCAAAAATAAATTATTAGGACATTTGTATTAAAAAAAGAAGAGTTGAATATTGAAATTAAGAATTTTTTTCGTATTTTCCGCTGAAAAATTTATCTTTTACTATAAATTCATATATTTATTAACAATTATGTTTAACGATTTAAAATTTTCCTATGAAACAATTTAAAATTGAATGTATTAAAATATAATATAGTCAACTTTAAATCAAAGGAATTCCATGTCTGCGTTGGTTTGTCCTGCAAACTATGTTTAGGGTGGAAGAATTGAATCAACTGATCAGTACGAGGTGTAAAGTAAACTGTTTCTGTCAAGTTTTGTTAATTTTGAAAACCAATAGTTTAGGGTTAATACAAAAAAGAAACAATTAAGGGATGGGTAAAATTAATTTTAAGCAAAATGATTTTTTATTTTTTCATCCATAAATTACAGAAAGCAATTTTTGTGAAAGAATCATTTAAAATGAATCTTATAAAAAAGAGATGGTGAAATTAATATCCGTCACAGGTATTTGATAACGATAAGGATGAAAAGAAGCAAGTTGTAAAGAAAGCAAGTTGTAATACAGACAGTAAAGAAGAGGATCGTTAAAGCTGTGAAGCAGCTTAATTCCCCATGTGCATTAAATGTTCCACTCAGATTTTGTGTTTCTGTTTTGTCTTATACGTGTTGAGGACTAGGTAAAGTGAACCTAGTTGAACATTGAAGTTCCTTCCCTTTGGAAAAGTCATCGCACACTGTTTCTCTCTCCTCAAACGGAGGCTATACTTTTTGCGTGTTTTGACTTCCCCTCAATTTTCACACGCACTCGCCTATATATACCAACACCACCCCTCTCTCCTCTCTCAACTCCAATCTTTTCACAAGACCACTACCTCTTCAACTTCGATCTTTACCTGTCTATTAACCTTAATTTCTTCAAGATCGACATGGACAATGAGATTGATGTTCCTTCATTCTTCGTCTGCCCCATTTCATTAGAAATTATGAAGGATCCGGTTACTGTCTCCACCGGCATCACTTACGACCGTGAAAGCATCGAAACCTGGTTGTTCTCAAAGAAAAACACCACATGCCCCGTCACCAAACAACCCTTGTTGGATTACACCGATCTCACCCCTAACCACACTCTTCGGAGACTCATTCAAGCCTGGTGTACCATGAACGCTTCTCACGGCATCGAAAGGATCCCAACTCCTAAGCCTCCGGTAAACAAAACCCAGATTTCCAAGCTTCTCAAAGACGCTTCTCATTCCCCTCTCATATGCCTCCGAAGGCTTAAATCCATCGCTTCAGGAAGCGAAACTAACAAAAGATGTATGGAAGCTTCTGGGGCCGTTGAGTTCCTTGCATCGATTGTAATGAACAACAACGTTGACTCTTCCAATCTACCACAGGCGGATCCAAGATATGGATCTGGATTCGATTTGAGAACCAGTGCAAGCGATGAAGCGTTGGGCCTGCTTCATAATCTTGGTTTATCTGAACAAGGCTTGAAGACTCTCTTAAGCTTAAAAAACGGAGAGTTCATTGAGTCTTTAACTAGGGTTATGCAGAAGGGGTTCTTTGAATCACGCGCTTACGCAGTTTTCTTGTTGAGATCGATGGCCGAAGTGGCGGATCCAGTGCAACTGTTGCATCTAAGGCAAGAACTGTTCGTGGAGCTAGTGCAAGTTTTGAAGGATCAGATTTCACTCAAGACATCAAAAGCGACCCTTCAAACCCTGATCCAATTCTCTCCTTGGGGGAGGAACAGGATCAAAGCTGTGGAAGCAGGAACGGTTCCTGTTTTGGTTGAACTTCTTCTCGATTGCAAGGAGAGAAAGCCTTGTGAGATGATGCTGGTGCTGTTGGAGACTTTGTGCCAGTGTGCTGAAGGAAGAGCAGAACTATTGAGCCATGGAGCGGGACTTGCCATTGTGTCCAAAAAGATTCTGAGAGTTTCTACGTTGGCGAATGATAGGGCCGTTAGGATTCTTTTCTTTGTTTCCAAATTCTCTGCGACTCCACACGTTCTTCAGGAAATGCTGAAACTGGGTGTGGTGGCGAAACTGTGCTTGGTGCTTCAGGTGGACAGTGGAAACAAGGCCAAGGAAAAGGCACGAGAGATACTCAAGTTGCATGCTCGCGCGTGGAAGAATTCTCCATGCATACCAAACAATTTGCTTGGTTCATACCCGGGTTATGTGTGAAACCAGAATTTTGAGACAGTCCCTTTATGTACAGAATTATTTGGAAAGGATAATTAGGTCTAAGTCATAAATATGGGCAGCAACAATTGATTGCTCACAAATGGTGTAGATTTAGGGTTTGATGTGTATTTCCTGACAAGTTGGTGCACTGTGTAATGGATTTTTGGTTTTGGTAATAAGCTGACACAAAAGGTTAATTGATCATACGGGTTTTCTTCCAGATTTTTTAGTTCATTTCTCTTCTTTTTTGTTTCTTCCCTTTACATTCAATTGCTTGAAATGCTCCAAGAAAATTACTGTAACACATAGCATGGCGAGGCCTAATCTCGATTGAGATAAATTACACACCAGCTCTTTCAAGTAATTTACTTCCATTTAAGCAACTGATTCAAATTTGAAGAACTTATTTACTTAACCTTTTCGAAACAATTTTTTTTCTTTAATATTGATTATATTAAAATTTTATTCCATTATAATATTAAAAGTTAATGTTGTTGGAGTATGAAATAGTAATTGCCCACAAAACTAACGTGGGGAAAATGGGCATATTGAATAAAGCAAAATAAGAACTTTTAATAGTCGCATAATTCACTGTTCAGATTTTGATTGTGGAGGCGTATGAAATGAAAATATTATTTTATTACAAAAGTAGAAAGGAGTTAATATTTATGAATCTCGTATACATGGTCAAAGTTAAATAGTATTACTTAAAGAATCACATGGCTTTATGTTTTGATTTTAATATTACACACACAAATAAAGTAAATCTTACCAGGTACCATGCATTATTATGGAGGATTAATTATTCTAGATAGATTATCAACTTGAGTTAACACGTGTAAAAAACATATCTCGCGCGAAGGGGTATGTTTTGTGTGCTAGGTTTCTTTTACGAAGATAATCGTCACTTCTTTCTCGTGCATATGGTGACAAACAGGATTTGGAATACATTTATGCTTCTTTCTCCAATTGGATATTTTTGGGTCTTGTCTGATGATATTTCTGCTCATTATAGTTTAGCTCTACTTGAATTATGCAGAGTAATATTGTGTTTCATTTTATTTTATTTTTAAAATTTCAATGAGACTTAATTAGACTTGATAAATGTTAGGTTGTGGAGATGGTTCAAGGCCAATATAGCTACTGTTCATGATCATGGTTCCTTTTATTATTAGTGTATTTGACCCTGCAACTTGATTATTTTGATCCATTAATTTGATTTAGTCTTGTAAGAATTTAATTTGTATATGAATTAGAATATGACTTATAGTTAATTCTTATTTGGATGATTAAAATTGATTTTATTTATCAATGAGTAGTTGGTTTACGTGGTATATATATGTTAGGTTCTCTTATAGATGGGAAGCAAAACATAGAAAAAGTTATACTTTATTGTAAATATTTTCAATTCAAGTAAGTAAAAGATACTTATGCGATCAAAGAAAGCACTTTTATTTGAATTTCATATTATTCGTCTATACATGATTGTATATCAGCAACAGTTGTTTTTTCCCTTTAACACCCAATAGACTTGATCGCCTATATAAAAGTGAATTATTATATATGTGTATACCAACCTTATTCTGAGTACTAGTAGATCAAGAGCCGCATTTCCCCCGTTTTTATGTGAAAGAGTCGTGGTTAGGAATGGTGACTAGGTTGTTTGTCATACGCACTTCAGACTACTTCAGCAAGAAAGTTCGCGAAGATTGTTATATTTTGAAACTTTTGTCATGTGTCTTGCAGGGAGTCGTTCGTTTTTTTTTTTTTTTTTTTTTTTTTTTTTTTTTTTTTTAAAAATATATTTTT